GAGAGACACAGACAGAGGCAGAGGCAGAGACAGAGACAGAGAGACATAGACAGAGGCAGAGGCAGAGACAGAGAGACAGAGACAGAGGTAGAGACAGAGAGACACAGACAGAGGCAGAGACAGAGACACACAGACGGAGGCAGAGACAGAGGCAGAGACAGAGACACACAGACAGAGGCAGATACAGAGAGACAGAGACAGACGCAGAGACAGAGAGAAACAGACAGAGGCAGAGACACAGAGTGAGAGTGAGCAAGAGAGAGACAGACAGATAGAGAGCCAGAGAGTGAGAGCGAGCAAGTGCATTATGCAAAAATTCAGAAAAAGCAGCACGAGGCAAAATGGGAGGAAAATCCAAATTTCGCAGATGAACCTGGCCATGGGAAGGTGAGGGGCATCGAGGAGTTCAAACCCATTGTTCACCGTCAAGAGAATCTGAAGAGATATCACTAAGCACATTTCCCATACAAATACCATCTCTCCAACATGATGGTGAACAGAAAGCAAGCTCGGCAAAATACAATATTATGTTACTTCAGAAACAAACACAAGCAAAAACACACACACATGCATTAGCTACATAAACACCGACACACACACACAAAAAGTATGTATATATCAAATAAACTTCCATAAACTTGCAAGTTACACATAATAAAGTTTCAGGTATCTAATACAAACGGAGAAATTGCCTTGTACAGTTTCAATAAATCTTGCTTTTACATTGTGGGTTTTTCTACCGCAGTTTCTCATAATTCACTGGCACAAGATCTGACAAACATCTCTTAATTCTACAGTTACTCAGGTACTCTCTCCTAGTTCATGTTCTTATTACAGTCAATATAAAGAGGTGTCCGAAAAGAGAAAAAAAGAAAAAAAAATTAGATACATATATCTAACTACAAAAGAAAAAACAAAGAAGTCTGTTACTCTACTATGTTTTAGGTTTAGTCAATCCTCCTTAAACAGTGAATTACAATACTACTACTACTGGTTATTTAGTCCAAGAGGATAACACTGAATGAGAATGGATTCATATATAAAACTTGTTTTGGCCTATTGACAAAAGTAAAAAAATAATACAGTTCTTGCACTTGTAGTTAACAAATACCTAGTAAACCACTATGCAATGTTTATTGTGACAAAAGTAAAAAAGGCATGAATTAGAATGCACGGTCTGGCAAGGCAAGACGTGAAATTTAGTTTTCGTTAACCTTCATCGGAGAAAATATGGGATTCTCGTGAAGTGCCGTCGTTATAACCACATCACTCGTCTTGGCCTGCGGATACGTTCACTGAAATCCATCCCTTTTTTACAACAATGATTACTCTTGAAACCATAGAATAATATCTAAAGGTGGTCTATGATGGTAATAATGGTATAGAAAAATGTCGGATCCATCAAAACTAGAAATATCACTTAAATTAACCCTGGAAATTTTGCCAAGAGTATATTACTTATTATCCGAGTCCAATGACATAAACATCTTTTGAAAAAGGGGTGGGAGAGGGAGAGAGAAAGAGAGAAGGTAAAGAGAGAGAGAGAGAGAGAGAGAGAGAGAGAGAGAGAGAGAGAGAGAGAGAGAGAGAGAGAGAGAGAGAGAGAAAGAGAGAGAGAAAGAGGAAGGGGGAGAGGGAGAGAATGAGAGAGGGAGAAGAGAGAGAAGAGAGAGAGGAGAGAAGAGAGAGAGAGAGAGAGAGAGGGAGGGGGAGAGGGAGAGGGAGGGAGAGGGAGGGAGGGAGAGAGAGAGAGAGAGAGAGAGAGAGAAAGAGAGAGGGAGAGAGAGAGGGAGAGAAAGAGAGGGGGAGAGAAAGAGAGGGGGAGGGAAGGAGAGAGAGGGAGGGAAGGAGAGAGAGAGAGGGAGGGAGGGAGGGAGGGAGGGAGGGAGGGAGGGAGGGAGGGAGGAAGGAGGGGAGGGGAGAGGAGAGAGAGAGAGAAAGAGAGGGAGAAAGAGAGAGAGAGGAGAGACAGACAGACAGAGAAAGAGAGAAAGAGAGAAAGAGAGAGAGAGAGACAGACAGAGAGGAGAGAGAGGAAAGAGAGAAAGACAGACAGAGAGCAGAGAGAGACAGACAGACAGAAAGGAGTGAGTGGAGAGAGGAGAGAAAGAGTGAGGAGAGAGGAGAGAGGAGAGAGGAGAGAGAGGGAGGGAGGGAGGGAGAGAATGAGAGAGAGAGAGAGAGAGAGAGAGAGAGAGAGAGAGAGAGAGAGAGAGAGAGAGAGAGAGAGAGAGAGAGAGAGAGAGAGAGAGAGAAGAGAGAGAGAAGAGAGAGAGAGAGAGAGAGAGAGAGAGAGAGAGAGAGAGAGAGAGAGAGAGAAGAGAGAGAAGAGAGAGAAGAGAGAGAAAAGGAAGGATATAGGAGAGGAGAGGAGAGGAGAGGAGAGGAAAGGAGAGAGAGGGAGGGAGGGAAAGAAAAAGAGAGAGAGAGAGAGAGAGAGAGAGAGAGAGAGAGAGAGAGAGAGAGAGAGAGAGAGAGAGAGAGAGAGAGAGAGGGAGAG